TGCTGGACAAGGCCAAGAAGCAGCATGTGACTAGATAATGGGAGGAACATACTGTGAGACACATTCACAGAAAACAGGAGCTAAGATGTCAGAGACAATTTTAACATGGGTATTTCCATTCTTGGTGTTGTAGCAACATGATTCTTTTTGTGGATTTTTTAATGTCTGTTGGATTGTTTTCAGAAAAGCAGAAGAATAGCACTCCATTTGTGCGATTTTTCACTGGTTAACACAAGGAGTCTCTTTAAGAAAACCTTGCCCCACGGGGTTTTTATTATTCTGTGAATGAGTTCTTGAAGGATGGCCTGCCCCATTCCAAATGCAGATGGACAATACTGAGCCTCTCCCACTGTCATCCTTACAGTCTTCATGCCAACATCTGTGCACTGAGGTCATCAGTCCAGGGGCAGAAGAGTGACCTAGCCAGTTACTCCTGTTAGGAGGAATTTGCAAGGTCAAGAAAGCTGCAGAGTCTTTTCCCACAGCTGTTACCACTCCTTGTACAGCCTAAAAGGTACTCAGGGGCAATGTACATACTAGTGAATTAAGCAGCAACAAGACTTTCCAGGTCTGGGAATTGCTGAATTGTAGTGTTTTGTTACCCAAATGGACAGGTTATACAGCTACATTAGCAGAGTGGTCCCACGAAGGCCTTTAGCCAATGACAAGGAGTATCTACCCAACTTTTCTTGAGTAAAATTTCAAAGTTAGAACAAGACAGGGATCAGTCCCAGCAGACAGTTTTGCAACAAGACACCCTGCTGTGGAAGCTGAGTTTAATTAGCATTAATGTAGTCAGATGGTAACTCTGGGACAAAGAATAGACTCTGACACTGCTTTGGTTGAGATTCAGATTACATGTTAGGAACAAACTTTTCACTGTAGGGTGGTCAGGCACTGGAATAGGTTGCCCAGGGAGGTGGTGGAGTGACCATCCCTGGAAGAGGTGTCTGGATGCGGCACTGGAGGATATGGTTTAGGGTTTAGGGGTTACAGCAGAGTGACAGGCTCATGGTTGAACTTCTTGGCCTTCAAGGTCTCCTCCAACCTCATTGATTCTGTGGTTTTTACTATCACTTTAATGAGAGCTGGGTGATGAGGCTTGGGAAGTATGGCTGTTCTCTGCCACTGCTCCTGTTCTGTGTAATTTCCTCAAGGAAAATGATAATGAAAATTAACATGGCACTGCAGATGCTCTAACTCCTGCCAGAACCGTGTGGCTTGGCCCAAGGTACAAGAGGGAAGCTGGTCATATTAAGAAGTGCACATTCTATTGAGTTCTTTTAATTTATAAAGATAGTTTCTAGAGTTTGTGTCTTTCTTCATTGGTATCTGAGTATGACATCCAGCCTGGAGGACTGCTTTGCACACTTCCTTTTGTTGCCTCAGATTTTTAAATCACAACTTATCACTCAGTTTTCATTTCCTTTGGCTGCTGAAGCTGAACTAACTGCAAAATAGAGAAGCTTTGCTACTGATTCACCAAAAGTAAGAACTGTGGATCTTTTCACACACCAGTCAGTGAGTCCCTGCATGTTTTGTGTTTGTGTGATTTTTTATTATTTTTTTTTGCTCTGAGCACAAAAAATTATTTTTATAATGGGAACTAAAAAGGATTTTTAAAAGTTTTGATTCAAAAACACTTTTATTAAAAGCTGATTCAGAAAACAGCAGGGTGTGACGTAGGAAGCTCAATGAAAGAGATGGGAAGGTGAAGGATGTGAGTGAAAAGTGTGTACCTTATTTTACCTTTAGAAAACTATTATTTAAAGCCCTCCCTTTGGCTCACAAAGTTTTCAGTGGGATTGAGGCTGAAAACTGTTGCCAGTCTAAATTGCTTCTTCAGAATCAACTGAATCACTCTCAGGCCATGGACAAGTCTCTCAAACTAAAACCATAGGCTGATGTCTTTTTTTTCCCCACAGATCCTAAGTAAACTGCTTTCTGCTTTCATTAAACACCACTGGTGAAACTGGACCCAGACCTACCACGTTTTCCCTCACTTTGGTTTCATTCTAGTTGGTGTTTTTCTTGAAGCAAGCTGTGTTTTACTCCTGCCGAGGGGATCCAACCAGCATCTCTCAAGTCACACACAGCCCTGCTTTGAAAAATCCAGAACTTAATGCACCCGATGCATCTGGAGAGGAGATCTGCTACTTTGCAAGGATGTCACAGGGGAGGACAGTGGTCCCTGGGGCTCTGGGGGAAGGGAGGACCAGGAGTGGGGTGGTGTTTCACATAGAGCAGAACTCAACTTGGCTCTGTGTTGGGCAGTGTTTTCCCCTGCTAGGACACCAGCTTCTACCAGAGAGGCAGAATATCACACACAGCTCTCATGGCAGGCAAGGGCTTGCAGGTTCTTGCCAATTTTTGGTTAAACCTGGGAGCTCAGGGACTGGGAGAGATACAGATTCATCTTAGCAAAGACAAGAAGCCATTAAGTATACTCCAAATTACAGCTTTTCAGTTTCCAGAAGGTTTCTCACTTGTAATATGAATTACAAGATTCCACGTATTTTATAAGAGCATAAAAGTCTCTGACAGAGGACATTTTGTCTTAAGCATCTGCTAAGCAAGAGGCTTTCAATTATCAGCATCACTGGAAAGATGACTAATTTTCATAAACATTTCTGGGAAAAACCCACAAATTCCACATGACTTACTGAATATAGAGCTTGTTAATTTTTAGGGACAGGAACACACATACAGATATTCACATCAGCTGCTGTTTTTTGAAGGATCTTTGAAATTAATATGTAAGTAAACAATTTATGTATAAAATATGACAGCACTCCGCAGAGACTGCATGCAGAGAAAAGGCTGTAGAGATTTTATACAAAACGTAGGAAATTTTAACCTGTTGTAAAAAACTGCTTAGCTTTAACCTTGGAACTGAGACCATGCTGCTCTTTGTTTGTCAGAAGCTCTTAGTTGCTCTCCACTCTTAGCAGGCCAAGTTGCACAAAACTTGTGAAAACAACACAGAATTGGTATGGCAAAACATGTATTTCTTTTATATTATGGCCATTACAAGAGATAATGTAAAGGAGCTTAAATGAGTGCATGACTCACAGTTTCTAATTGCTTTATTCTGACCAAAATTGATTAAAATGGCCATTTTAAAATTAATTCCTTAAAGTAAACATTTTATGTGTAATATGTGTATATATATACACATATGTAAAATAAATATATTTTAATCCTTAATGCTGTCTTTCTCCCATTCAGTAGCAACATGAATGCTTAGGAAAAGCATGTTAAGAATAATATATCTCCATAGTCTGCACATGGTAAGGTCCTTGGTAAATGTAGATATGAACAAACCAGTGTAGTTTTGTGAGCTTTAATCTTTATTGAATAAATGAATGTTTTACAAAGTAAGCTTATTAAAATAACATGGCCAGAGGTTTTGAAACCTGTGTGGTACAAACCTGACCCAAGTTCATAAAGAAATGATAAAACTCATCAGACAACAGTTCATTAAAGCTAATATTTTCAGTGGTTGATGCATAAAACTAAAAAAATCACAAGTCAAAATCATCAAGTATCAACATGCATTTTTCTTCATAAGATGTGGCTACATACGCTAGGAATGTGTGCAAGGACATACAAATTCATAGGCAGATTTTGGTTCATTTGCTCTATGGTTGTGGTACTGATATCTGCACCCAGTATAGAAGAATTTCAAATAAATGGTTTCCTCCCCCACCTGCTTGTTATACATTAATGGCAGGTAATATCTGGTTAAAATGTAATGTCTGTTAAAATGGAATTTATATTTCATTAGCTTATTTGTGGAGAGCCAGAATGTGCAGAAGATACATGGAGACTTCGTTATTGACTTTCGTGCTGACTCCAATGCAAAGAAAATAGCAAGACAGGATTCCAGGTATCCAAATTCTGAAAAGCTGGTGGCAAATATTGATGCTGAAGAGTGGCCCAGTGTACTGGGACAAGAACGTCTGAGCCAGCCAGCATTTGCTCTCACCAGTTAAATGCTAAACTGGGTGAGCTGCTGCTACTTTGCAATGTCTTTTCCTGAAATATTGGTTCCTGGAAGGCTGCTAGGAACACTGTATCAACAACTTCATTATTAAGTAAATATGCAATATTATAATGTACATCCGTCTAAAAGAGCTCCAAACACCATGAAGCTTGTGTTTCTCTGTTAGTGCTGTTGGCACATCCTGATTTCTCTAGTGTATATGCCTCTGCCTTGACACTTGGCACTCAGTTGCATCACGTTTTAAAAAGGCTAGGAAGGAACATTGCAGTTCCCCTGCCTGATCCCCTTCACTCTGCAGACTGAATTACCTTAGCTTCAAGCTGCTACTAAGGCAAGACCTACTAATACTCTTCTTTTAAGAGAGAGAGTAAGCATAAATATGTGCTAAAAATCTGAGAAAAATGACACCAGATACATCTTCAGAGGTTTGACATGGGAATGCAGTAAACCTGAATCCCTGACATCTTTATTTTCACATTTTTTTCTTCTATTTGAGGAGTACATTCTAGTTTAATACAAACTTCTTCCTTTAGATCTGGTCTCAACTGAGCCTGCTTAGGCCTGTTTCCATGATGCAGACTTAAATGAATGTGTAATAAGAACTGAATAAATGAACAGAAAAACTTGAATCAATTCTTCAATTCCTGACATATACTTAAGTACATTTATGGACAAAATTGACTTTACTGTGCAAGCTGCTCTCTAAATTATTTAAACTCATTTTCCTTTGTTTTTCATTCACTTTGGAGAAGAGAGCAATAGCAGCACTTAACAATTCAACAGGTATAACCTAGATGACAATACATATTCCATCAATCTGTCTCAGCTACTCAAAAGTATTCAGCTCATCTCTGATACACAAATAGCAACACATTGCATCAAAACAAGCCTTCTTGAGCCTCCAATGTTGTAATGTTATTTCACAGTCCAGTGAAAAATACCAGTCCAAAAAAGATGTTTCCTCAGATGAACAACGATTGGGTTGTTTCTTTTTTTACTTGGTTTCAAAAAGAAGAAACCCAGCAAAGGTGGAGAAGCGTTGATGGTCCCCATGGAGGGCTCCATTTCCCATTCGCAGCCAAACTTCATCTCCCTTGGCAAGTTTTAGGACTGCACTGTTTCCTGAAGTATCTGCTTTTCCTTTGGATTCATAGCTAAGGATGCATATTTTAACAAGTCAGTTTTTTGTTCCTCGACAATGATCAAGCAAATAACTTTAAAAAAACCTCAAGAAAGCACATTGGTATCCTGACCAAAACTTCCTTGAAAGGCTTGCCAACATTGTTTTCAGCTTTATGAGGACATTTCGGCAACTTTCTGCATTTGATCTGGTCAAATTTTGCACCTTCCCTAGTTGATTCATTTAATTCCATTTCTAAATTGTGGAATTTTAACTTATTTTCCAAGGCACAGGAACAAACTTTTTATTTAAAATAAAAATCTGCTCCTTCGTCAGAACACTGCAGATTTCCTGTGATGCTCTTTTCTCTTTTAATTCATCCCAGCTAAATTTAAATCCCTCCAGGTCAGGAGTCTGATGTGAGCTGAGACAGTGCTCCCAGCACAGGCAGTGGGCTCACTCCATCCTGAGGCCTCTCATTGGAACACAGACACATTTGATGTGGGCTAACCTGCTGGCTTTGTGTGAGTGTTGGTCGCTTTCTTCCACCTGTTCCATTTTATAACAGCAGTGCTTCAGGGGAGAAAAAACAGAGCACATTTTCCTTTTGAAGGAAGTATCTGTTGGCAGTGGTGGGTACTAATGATAACAAAGCCAGTAAATGGAGGACCTTTGCTTCTTACTCATCCTTACTACAGCAGTTTCAGTGCTTTCCACCTTTAAAGTAAATTGCTCTCTCCTCATCTTTAACAAGACAGTAACTAGTTGAACACTTCATTATGCCCTTTCTCTAACAGGCAAAATGAGGATGAACATGTATTTTCACAGAATGACAGCATGTTACCACTGAACTCCAACCCTGACTTTCAGTGCTAATTCCTTCCACTGAGTTTGAGGAACTTGTGATCAAGGCTGAATTTTATGTCCAGGATCTCAAATTTGCAAGTTGAGGTGGGCAAAATACAATAGGTTTTTCTTATTGATTATTTTACCCTACAGAATTTCTTCCAAAAAATGAACAATTTTACGTTTCTTGAAGCACGAGCCAGCTATCACATCTGTGCAAAACCATGTTTTTGCATTGAAAGGGCCTGGCCCTTCACTTACCTATATAAGCTGAACACTGTATTACCATTATGCATCAGGTACACATACACTTCCTCCACGTCTTCATGTTTCATCATATTGAAGGTGAAGAAATACACCCCTGAAAAGATTACCAAGTACAACGTGTTTACTTCATAGAGGGAAGTAATCATGCTGCAGATTTCTGATTCTTGTTTAGAAGACATAACAGCTGAGGACAAAACTAGCTTCCAGTTGTCAGTGGATGTTTTTTCTGCTCATAGTGTGCCAAAACCTGATTAATTTTTTTCCTGCATATGGCAGGGGCTGTTCCTGCACCACAGCTGCATAAGATGGGGAAATGATGTAGCTGAAAAATAACCCAGGAAGAACTGTAATGCCTCATTTCCAGCCACACATCTGTTGCAGGTCAGCTCACAGCTGAATTGGTATGAGGGAAGATGGGGATGAAGAGAGTGACTGGAGGCAGAAACTGGAGGAGGCAATTGTGAAGCTGCTACTGCTGCAACATCAAGGCCATGGTTATTACAACACAGTGGCTGAATAGCTAAAGCCCACAGCAAAGCAAATGGTCCTGCTCCCTCCCCAGCCCTGGCCATGCTTCTTCCTCCTGCCTGTGTGTCATCACTAGTCTCAGTGGCAAGACCTCTCTTGGCTCACTCAGTTTTCTATTAATTTTTCTGGAAAGTAGGTAGCAAGTGTTACACAGACTGAGTGTCATCAGTGCTTTGTGCAGAGGCAGTTAAATGGTTTCTTATAATTATCGACCACACCTCTCCCTATAGCTCCAAGAATTGCATTATTTCGTTTTTCAAATGTTTACCATTCACTGGAGCACCAAATCTTCCAGTCATGACATCAAAAAAATTTCCAACGTTGGTTTCAACACTACTGAAGATGATCCCACTGTTCTGGTTGCTGAAGTGAGTAGCCATTGAAGCCATGAATGCAACCTGTAAAAATCCAGTTCTCAAGTCAGGCAGTCATTCAGGAAATGCACATGTGTAGAGAAATCAGCTATAGAATTTTTTCCTGTATTTGCAATCTGTTAATTTTCCTGACAGAGATGTTCTTCTAGGGCTTGCTCCAAGGCCAATAAACTCCAATAACAAAACTTCCATTGAGTGAAACTGGAAAAGGACTAGGTTTCTTACATTCAATTGGACTATTCATGCCTGTAAAGTAAGTGTATGTTCAAGTGTTTGCAGTTCAGAGCTTTCGTTTGGGACTTTATTTACTTTCAAGTCTTTCCAGAATGATGCAACAGAAAAATAGTATTGAAATGGTGTTTCTGACAAAAGTTTTTTATATAGTTTTTATATATTCCGCAATACATTTAGACTGAGTATTACTTTTAACTGAATGTGTGAAAATAAACAATGCTTGGTAAAATCCATATAAATTAGTGTTTCTTGCTAACTACCTTCAGAGATACATTAAGCACTTTTATTAGAGGTCCTCTAGAAGTTCAACAGCTGGGACTCAACATTCAATGCTTTTTCTCTCTTACCAGTTGCCTCAGTCATGAAAACAGAGGTGGTGGACATCAAAAGAGGAAACTAAGAAAGTGAAAACTGTGTTTCAACTTCATGTTTCCCTTCTTGCAGTGAGGTATGTTTGCCATAGAAAATGTTTCATAGGAAGCAGTACAAAGCATCCCTCACTGGCAAGATACCAGTGTATGACCCTGCAGTTTGTGTGGTCAAGGAAGGGGGTGATATTTTCTGTGAGTGTATGATCCCCAGCCACATCTGACGGTCAGTAAATGGGGTACAGGCAGAATTGCTGCACCTTGATGCCACAAGGTCACACAGTGACTTGGCTTTTTATTTCGATCTTGACTTCTTACATGACAAGTATTCAATTGCATCTGTTACTGTCCATCACAAAAATGACATTTTTCATGAGATTCCAGCTCTACTGGTATTTAAACTTTTTTTTTTTTATTTCAGATCCAAATGAGAACAAAACCAAAACAGACAAAAATCAAATACAAGTCTGAATCCAACAACGGAAATCATTAGCCATCTGTTCAGAAATTTAAGGACCTCCAGATGTGAGCTGAAAGCTTGGGCTGGTTTTCCTTATCCCTGCATGGATGAATTTTCTATGATGGCAAATTGTTAACGTCTTGCTTCTCAGCCAGGATCACGTCAAAGTTCATCATGTGTTAAAGGAAAGCAGCTGCAGTGGCAGCTTGATGGAATTTATTGCTTTTTGTCTAGATTCCATTTCACAGTCTCTTTGACTCTAAGCTACTTTTCTGGGCTGATCAGAAAAGCTAAAAAAGATGTCCTTTCTCCCTAGGTCTCATTTGGAAGTCGCAGATCAAGGTGGACACACCAAGTTTTTCAAAACAATCCTGTACTTAAAAGAGTATTGTGTTCAAAAGTGTTTTCCCTTAACCTATCCTGACTGTAAAATTCTTAAGCATGATGTAAGCAGAAATGATATGCCATACTCTGAGAATTTTGAAACAGATCTGTTAAAAATGGTGATGGAATTCTGCTTGAAAAAAGGTATTACAATATGAGCTTTTGTTATTCATCTTCTTTCATTATTCAGTTTTAATTAAGTTGCTGTCTCTATGTAAGAATAAATAGTGATAGTTCATTTTAAAATTGCAAAAGGATATATGTTGAATCTAACTGCAACAAGTATGTTTTTAAGATATTCAGCTATAATGTGAATTCCAGCTGATTCTTTAAGAACACTAAAATAATTTGTTTTATTACAAAAGTGCATTAATTTTTGAAACTGTTTTCTCTGTGAATTGTATTCTGTGCAGTTATCCCACCTTCATGCAGACTATGGTGGGGAATTCAAGCACAGATAATGCCAAGAAATCCAAAGCCATTTTTCCACACTGCACCTGTTGGTTATACTGTTGAATTTGCTGTTAATTTTCGTGCCTTTTATGAGGATATAAAACATATATTAATGACTGTTATTGGGAAACTCCTTCAGTGAAAAGATGTATATCTGTAAACAGACTAGAACTTCAGTTTTTACCATAGTCAAAGGGTTTGAAGAAGTATTTCTTTTTATGCACGTTTGCTATATCACATTTTGCCCCTCTGTGGTGAACTTCTTTAGGGGGGTACAAATCAGATCAAGACTAAGACACTTCCATTAAAGACTGTTTGTGTGAGTGAGAATGTGAACTCCTTTATAGTTTTTGGAGACCTATGTACTCCCTGGTGTCTGAAGTCCCATTTGCCCAAAAGCAGCACTGATTATCAGTTTTATCTGAGTTGCTCTTTTAGATCCTCAGTAATTATAATGGGATCTTAGGTGCTTCCGTCACATGTGGCCTCTCTGGAGCTGAACCTGAGTGCAATCACTTGCTGACACAAATGCACCTGAAGAGCTTTAGGGTTACCCCCATGGGGCAACATCTCAGGCTTGAACCCAGATTTTAAAGCTCATCTGGCTTTTGGGTTATTCATTCATAGGCAGAACCTATGTGGTCCCCAATATATTTAGGGTGTCTAGACATATTAAAATACAGATAACAACTGAGGGGTATTTTTTTAAAACTAGAGGACTCCGTCTGCACTCAGAGGCTTTGAGCCCTTACTTTGAGGACCTAGATACATATGCTTCTGAGAATCTCACAAAGGCTGGCTGAACTAAGAAGCATGAGTGACTTTTTAACTCTCTTCATATGCTGTAGGTAGGGCAGTTATGTATGTGATACATTTTAGTAGAAAAATGATACTCCCTGCTCTTCTCCTTTAATGATAAAGATACTGGCTTTTTGCCCTCAAAGGGAAGTATATGTTTCTTCCTGCCCATTTCTCAGCTGGATTCTTACTCTAAAGAAAGACTAAACCCTTTCTTTTCCAGGAATATCTGGCAGAGCACATTTGTTGGTCAGGACAGGGCCTATATATGTCTCTTACAGTTTTAAATTACAGGGGAATTTGTTTCTTAAGTATCTCACAGTATTAAGCGGCTGTTTTTTAGTGAAGAAATCCATAACATGAGATTTTCTGCAGCCAACACGAGCCAAAGATTTTGTACCTGTAGCTCTGGGGGAATTCCAGGGTAACCCTTCTCGCCTTTGGGTCCATGATGGCCACGCTCTCCCCTTGGTCCCATATCTCCTTTGTCTCCTTTCTCCCCTTTGGCTCCTTCTTGGCCAGTTGCTCCATTATTTCCATTGTTTCCGTGATTTCCTTAACAGAAACAAAGGTTCCTGTTTAACTTAAGTAATTTAATATAAGGGAAGTGTGACAGGATCCTTTTCCACCACTTTGCACCATGTGGTCTTCAGTACCATAAACCCCAGATTGAGCTGTGATAGATAAGAAACGGCTGTGTGATTAAGATGAAGGTAGTGGTTTTGATGAGCAGGTTTCCAGATGGACATAGATTGATATGTAAGAGTTAACCCTCATGCTGTCTTGGTGTTGTTGTATAAACTGCTGATGTCCCAGGTCATTGCTTTGTTTGGTAGATGTGCAAGAAGACCTCAGCAGATGCGAGGCTCAATGAAAGCAAAAGCCACTGCCTATTGACACATACTGGGTAGCCTGCATAAGCACTCTTGCCTTTCATTCTGTGTAAAACTTATTTCCTGGTAATTTAAGTTAATTAGGGTATGATAGGGTAATTTTTGAATAGCATTTTGCTGTCTTTAAAACATGTCCACACAAACGAAGAATGGCTGTAGCCTTAAACTAGCTAAATGACCCATCTGTGCCAATAAAAGGAGAGTTGTGCATTCTGAGGATGCTGGTTAGCTTGAAGGGTTCTATATAGCTTGAAGGTTTAAATCTAGCTCCTAGTTTTAAAGAGAGAGAACATCTTTATAATTAAACTTTTCTGAGACAGCTTATTATAAAAAGGCTCATTATAAAACATATTCCTGCACCTGCAGTATTGCTTACTTTCTGATGTTTACTGAGGAAATTATTGAGCAAATGTCTGTGCAACTGAAAAAAAATTTAAAGCTGGCTAGAATCACTGAGCAATTATTATGTCTCTTGCAGCAAAAGCTTGATCTTTCAGCTCAGGGAATTACTTAATGTCATCATTGCTCTAATTCTATCTGAATTGAAATTAAGATTCCTTGCCACTCTGCTTTTTCTTTGATTATTCTCTCTGGTTACAAGAAGAATAGTGTTGTTTGAGATGAAATCTAATGATGAAGTGATGCTTCAGAGTTAGTGTACTGAGAAAAAATACTTTAAACAAGGAAGCTAAACAGCGAAAAAAATATGCAGTTTTTTGTTTGGATAGAGGAATCTGTAACTCTCAACAATAACAAGAATTATCCTATTTGTAAAACCAGAACTACTTCTCTACCAGGTTAGAGCAGAAGTCTACAAGCAACATTTGATTCAATCAAGTGGAAAAACAACTGCTGTTGCTCCCCTTACAGGCACAACAACATGAAGTGCAGCAGATTAAGGAGGCAGAGAAATTCCACAGTTGCTGCCAGCCATAGATTTGTGGCATCCTGTGGTGAGAAGAGAGTGTGACTGAGATACGTGAGGAAGGGGCAAAGCTGGGACTGTGGATGTCCCGGTATGTCCACTGCAGCCTTGAAAATGTGAGTCTAATATAAAATTGTATCCTGTTTCTAAGAAGCCAACAATTTATTAGTAAGTAATGGACCATTGCATTGCATTGTAATTGTGATAACAGGATATGCCAGGTTCTGAAGATGAGACAAATCTGTCCATCTGTGATGTGTGCCTTTATACGTCTGCTTTAGGAATGGTGATTTTCAAATCCTGGAAGGTAACTGCTGTAACAAGCTTACACCAGCATGCAACTAACTTTTTCCCTTCTCTAGGCTCTTCTATTTCCATACCAATTATCAGATCACAGTTCACTGTTCTTCTGTCTGCATTTTTAATGAAAAGAAAAAGGTAGGTTTTATTATGGTAGACAAGATGTAAGAAGGAAATGCAGGAATTTCTGCAAGAGAATGTGTGTCTCTATAAAATACTGGCTAGCAGTATGCTAGATGAGGAATGCACTACACAACAACATAGGTGCATATACGAGGGTGATAGCAATAATCAACTCCAAGGAACAAGTTCTTCCAGCTTTAATGGAAGCTTCATGCTGCTTTAAGAAAAGACACCAATTTGCCCTAGAAATGCAACTCTCAGTGTGAATTTGTGAAAGCTGAATTTTAATAACAAATGGGTTTTCACTGGAAAATACTTTAGAATATAACTGAAAATATCTGTCTCTGCAGAAATAATAGAAAAACTTATCTGTCCCCAAGTATTGATGCTTGGGCCATTCTCTGATAATTCACAGAATAGCCTGTAATTTATAGCCTGCAATTATACTGACCAAAAAATGAATTAAGCTTCATCTTTACCTGGCATCCCAGGGGGCCCAGGAGGTCCTGGGGGCCCTTGGTAGAGTCGAACTCCAAAGTCACCACGGCAGCAGGAACTACAGTCTGGATTCTGTGGTCCAGGTGGGGGGGGCTAAGTGCACAAAAATAAGCTTTAAGTAGCTCATTCATGGAGGACATCAATCGATGCATGTTGGTTACAGGGTCTTCATTATACATTCTCTGTTTATATATTTGGTAAGTTTTCAAAACACTCCTTATCTGGGCTGAAATCTTACATACTTGGGTTGTCACTGAAGATGTTATTTTTGGAAGATTTAAGGAAATGGCTCTTGAAGTGTTCTAAGAGCTACATGAATATTAAAAAAACAACTTCTCCTGTCAAATAATGAGGGTTTTGAAAATAAAATAATACCAAGTAATGAAATTTATATGAATATCTCAGTTAGGTTCCCATCCTGATCCTACATTTCAACTGACCTTTGATGACAAACAAGCTTATGTACTACAAGTGGTAGGACACAAGGGACTTGCTTTGACCTTCAGCAATGAAGTATCCTTCACTAAACATAAAGAAAACTGTGTTGGACCACCCAAAGCACATATTTTAAAAAAAAAGTCTGTGCAGCATGTTCCTGTTCATGGTCCAAGACCAGCATATTTACAGGCTACTAAAGTTGGGAGAACCTAAAAAAGTCCCAGGTTACATGACAAAGATTTGAACTTACCACAACATGTGGTGTTAGGGTTTTTTGATTACTTGTAGTGGTGAATGTGTAACTATGAAAACCTGGTTTTATGTTGAAACTAATATAGCAGCATAAATAAACTAATGAGTTTATTATACACAGCTCAGCTACGGTAGTAATAGTTTGATAGTAGTTTTGTTTCTGTGTTGTTCTTTTCCATTTTATATTTACACCAATGGAGTCTCATTCAAACCTGACTAGATTTCATAACTGGGCTCTTGCAACGGCTTAGACATTACAAATCTTCCAGTGGGTCAGCTAAGGCAGAGATCCAGGATTTGATTTTATTTCTCTACCTCCTCCTTATTTCTCCCTCTTTGTTTCTTTTTCCCTATAATTCTTTGCTAATATCCTAAGATGCAAAACTGCAGTTCGTAAAATATGGAGAGGGATAATTACAGCAATCCAACTACTACTTTTCTCTAATCATTCTACTATTTGTCTTTTTTCCTTTCTTTCCCCTCATCTTTATCATTCTCAGGTTATTTGCCTAATGCAGTCTTATTGGTTTAATGGCAGCAAATGAGCCTCTGGCTGGATGAGAGCTGTCAAACCAATACACAGATGTGCTGTATTTCTGCCCTCAGTGTCATCAGCTGACTTCATCTGAAACACTAAAGCTTTCTGTCTGCGTTTTGAACAATACCAAGCACACGCTCAGAATTCATTCATTTCAGGAGGCTTAGGAATTTATGGATACAGAAAACCTCTTTCATGCCACAACCAAAATACTGTGGGACAGATGCATGCCCTCTCCAGCTGGAACCAACAGTGATGGAGTTACCATGGGAATAAAGGCTGACTTGACAGCTCAACAAATATGCTTCAAATTCAGGGTTATGGAAATGTTAAGGCTTGCCAATGGGCAGAAGGGCTTCATATTTATGAGGTTTGGTCAAGGCTATGCTTTTTAGCTTCATTCTGGACAAGGTCTGTGCTTTATAAGAAAAAATGAGTTCTGCCTCTTGGATTGTCTGTTCCCAGAGAACCTGTTTGTATCTTTCTTGCTGTTTTGTCTCTCCCAGTTGTTAGGAAGAACATAACTGACAATCACCAGATACACTGTTTATAATTTTCCTAATATGAGAGAAATATCCTTGCTTTCAGCTCATTTTCAGTCCTTGAAGGGTAGCCAAGTACAAGAGGGCTGCAATTGTGCAAACATTCTGCACCCTCTGAAATAATAATGTTGATTGTTGCAATGAGATTAAAATCTCCAGCTCTTTTTAGATAGTGCTTCACACTCACGTTACCTGGGAAGGCAAACTATACACACACCCACCAAGAGCAAATAAGTCATACCAGCCTAAAAATACCCAGAGACCTAGAACTGTAGAATGTAGGTAAGGAAAGACATAAATCCAGTAAACTGAACTCATATGCACACTCCCTGTGCAGGTGTGATTTGTCTTTTTCATACAATGCACTGAAATCTTGAATTATACTATTAGGTAACCAGCTATGTTATCATGAAATAGATACTAGTGCTGGTCATAATCAAATGCTATTTGCCATCACCTTAGAAAAAGCTCAGCAGGTTATTACATGCGAAATAAGGCCAGTCCTGCCAGTCTGGTTGTATGCAAACAGTTCCACTGACTTCAAAATAACTACTTATGCAAGTCATAAAGTAATATTGACTTATTATCTATACTCATCTTTTCACTAGGGGGAAAAAATGTTCATGGTCAGCTGCCAAGGATAATGAATATTCAGGATCCTCTTTAAATCTCTAAAAACAGAGAACTTCACGAAGAGTACATTTAAAGGAAAAATGTGTTCCTAAACTAAAATCACGCTCAAATGTGACAGAGATTAATTACAATCTGCTTGCCAAAGGCATTCTATGCAGCTATTTGTGCATTAATTTTATCACACAGTGAATCTTTGGCTTTGTTTGCAGAACATGAATATGATTTAGAACCTTATGAAATGCATCTGTCACACTGATATCCTAATACAGATAGAAAACTGGAAATACTTCTGAGGCTATTTGCTGAATTTCCTATGATTTAGTATGTAGGAGAAAGTTCTGGCAACAGATGGTCTATAAAATTCCCTTAACTTAAAGCTGTGAATAATCATAGTTGGAGACCCACCCCTTTTTCACTTCCTGATTAGTTCTATGGGTTTCTGTTTTATTGCTTAAGACAATGCAAAAGACAAGTAATGTACCTCCACTGCTCTTGGCTCCTGTTCTGAACTGAAATAGCATGTCTCCATGGGCACTAAGGCACTCCATGCCCTTTCTCTAAGCAAAGAATTAAACAAAGAAAAGTTGTCGAAATTCAGGGTGAAACACCACTTGGCTGAGGGATATCAAAAGATTTTCAAAGAACAACCAGAAAAGGAAAAATGGGCTCTCACAGCTCTCCCTAGTCACTAAGAGTTCTGTGCTTGAGAAATGCACATTATATTTTACATATGTTAACAGCAGCGTGGAAACTGGCCTTACACCCAATGCAGCAAAGACAGTAGCAAAGACAAATGCTATTGTCTCTCTTCCACAGCAGGGGTCTTTAAAACACTTCAGTAAGAGGGCAAAATTCTCCAGCCAAAATTCTCTTTAGCTGGGGAAAGGAACTCCACCTAAAACAACCGAGAACCTAGGAACTTAGGGATTGAGCAGTTTCCATGTAGCTCAAGGAGAAGAGAGACGTTTGACATGAATTAAAACTTGTCTGTGCCACCTCTGCTCTTCATCTGCCTAGAAACCTCTCGAGTCTGGAGTTGGAAAACACCTATTGCATAAGCCACTCTGTGATCGATTATCCCTGTCAAGCATCTGCTATTGTTCCATTTCATTACAGTAAGCCAAAAATTGCATCATTTTCCCAGAAAAGATTGCTTCTTAGAGTGGGCCTGGCAGGTAAATGACTTCCATCAGCTGTACTCAGACTCTCTGTGCTCGTTTTTAATGCCACAGCCTCTCCTCCCAGCAGGCAACTCCAAACATGTTCCATTAAACTCTCTGATGAGAGACACATGCACTCCAAACACAATGACACTTTTTGTGAGTGAGATTTTGACCCCCCAAAAAGTTGTAATTTTATATTAAATCCTGCATTATCTGAAATTATGTTGAGTTAAAGGGGAATCTCCTTTAGGTACCGATAGTACATGGTCTGTAGTATGCAGTTGCACAAATCTCTCTGCAGTAAAGAGGTCTGCACATACCAGCTAGCTGTATACCTGATGGTTTACACTGTTTTTATACTGCAATTGCAATTTAATATGCCTACAGTTAAATGCCTATTTTGCTGAATGCACCGGAGGAGCATTTAACTCCTGCCCAAGAAATACAAAACAAAAAGCAATATAAAATTTAAATACAGGGAATACAGTGGTGCTTTAAACCTACTGCCATACTTGGATGTGTTTCAGTTCTTCAAGCCTAGGACAAGATTAAAATCAAATCTTGTCTCTGCTTATCATGATGTAGGTTATTATTCAACACTTGTCTGCATGTCCTTGAATTTTGCCATTCAAGATATCATAGTTTGATCTGAAAGAGTTTTTAAAAAAACAAATGATAAAAATTGAACTATATAGGACTCAAACATTCGTATCAGCTATAGGAACAAAGCACTCATGTTCTTTCTGTTTCTAAAAAACACTGATCAAAACAAAACTTCTTTTAAGTGGAATTTTGTTTTGCCTAGTGCTTGAAAAAGCTTCATCTTCTTCCCTTCAGAGTTTTTCTTTTAAATTGGAACTGCAATATTTTATGTGTCATCAAGTTATGCTATTCTCCCTTTGCTGTGAGCTAATGACTATAGTATCTAAAGTGCCATGAAAGGCATAAAAATATTCCCAGTTTAAAATGCAGATACTGCAAGTGATTGAGTTGCATTGCAAGTCTTTTTTCTTCTGAAACTTTCAAGTTGATATATATTATTAAATCTACTCGTTACATTACTGTCTTTATTTTCAAGCTACTCCTTAGATTAAAGTTTTTGACCACTCAGAATTTTACTATGTTTGTCTCAAGCTCAAAAAATATACTTTATATACATCGTCTTCAAGGAAAGTTATTCCCTGCTTATTCAATCTTTCCAAATACCTCTAGAAATTCTGTAATTTTCCCTCACATCCAAATGAGTTAGCAGAATCTAAAACTTAAATATCTTAAGTAATGCCTTGGGACAATTAAGTGACTATATATCAGAATATATGACTGCACAGGTACAGAGTTTCAACAGAACAAAAGGCTGCTGTCTGTGTTGAAACCAGTGTCCCCAACCACTGCTGGTTCTACCAGCTCATTAAAAGATCCTATAAAGCAGCCCAGCAGGATACAGACCAATACACAGCTTTAATAAAAATTATTTCATAAATATATCACTAATAATCTTAGCAAAAATAAAATATCTCATTAGCTTTAAAGATATCTTTAGAAGATTAATTCAGAGTACCTGGACTCTATCTGAGGTAGTCAGTTCTACATCATCTACCTCTGGTCTCAGGACCTTTTGGTCTGTAGAAGTGCTATTATCAACAGTCCACTCTATAAGTTGATTCCGCTGTTTCAATATTTCCCTGCTTCTGGAACCTTTATGACCAGTCTGGTGGTGACTTTGCAATATTTTGGCCACTGGTTTATAAGATCTTCTGCTCACCTCCATGTATTCATCTTGACACAGGCAAAATGGAAGAAAAAATAAAGCCAGTAGATGCCAACTGATGAAATCCTTCTCTGCCATGTTATTCAAAATAATTTTTCAGAAGTCCAGCAAATGCCTTGCAGAAGGAGAACCTCTTTGCTGCACCAGAAGTTATGTGGTCCTTTCAGCTTTTCCACTAGTAAGCCTGGCACTGAGACCAGTACCAGGTTTTATACAGTTGCATGCAATAAATAAAACTAAAAATGCCAAAGTGACAGGATCCTTCATCCAAAATCAGTCATGCTCCTTTAAACAAACCAGGCATTATTCACCACTTCACCACCACAAGGAAAATTGATTTGTATGCTGGAAATGACCACAGCATTTAATGGACTCCTGTGGTTCCTATTTGGGGGCATTAAAAAATGTAGCACCTTTCCTTTGGCATGTTTTTGTTTAAGTGTGAAAAAATGTGATGGAAATGGAGAACATGTGGCTAATGGTTTACGTTCCTTGATTAGACATGGAAAGGCTGTGAATTCACACTCTTAAATGTCTTTTGGACACAGTCACCTTTCTCATTTGCCAGGAAATTCACACACACAACTGCGTCAGCCCAGTCCGAAAAATCCTTCCAAAAGCAATTAGGAAACAAAAGCACAAGAGGAGCTTTTGCATATGATCCTGTCCCAGTGGCTGTTTCTGACTACGCTTTTCATTCACTGAAAGAAAAATATTGAATTTCTGTCAGTTGGCCAACAGTGGAAGGAGACTGGGTAAGCAGCTTTGAAAAACTGGGTTGAATTCAGATTCACAGAGCCCCATTTCTCAGCACTAGTTCAACATACTCAGCCAGGCAATATTTTTTCCCTTGAATTCCTAATGTTTTCCTAAATGCAATTGCCAAACCAAGTTTTATATTTTCACTGCCAAGTAAATATAAATTTACCAGCGGCTTATTTCAGACTAAAAGATTCAAATTTATGTGTAGTATAATAATAATGATAATGATGATGATGATGATGATGATGATGATGATGATGATGATGATGATGATGATGATGATGATGATGATGATGATGATGATGATGATGATGATGATGATGATGATGATGATAATAATAATAATAATAACAATAATAATAATAATATCCTCATTACCCTTTTTGAACCACCCACCAGTATTCTCTAGAAAGCCACAACTGCAGGATGCAGTTCTGCATACACATCCACATGCACATCTAAACTTCCCAGGAGTAAGTAGCTCCTTGGCCTGTGAGAAACTCTGCACCAGTACATGGCTACAGAAACATTAGTGAAGCCATCAGTCCCAGGAATGATCCCTGCAATGTGATGGACTGGCTCATACTCAAGTTGTTTAAAGCTGACTGCACTGCTTAGCTTTTAAATGAGGCTCCTCTGTATCCTCTGGGGTGCTGTGGCCTGAAATTATCCTTTTGTTATTTCCCCTTTTTAAATTATTTTGAATATTTCTTCTTGTTCAGTTGCCTGACAAAATGTGAGGGTCAAGGTGCAGGCTGATACAGTGGATGTTTTTTAGATCATGAGGCTGAGGTTGCATGTTTGGGGATGGGATATGAGGGAAGGGGGAGCACCAGGAGCCTGTTGGGGTGTTGGTGAATGCTTCATCCATCCAGAAGATATTCTCTGAAAATAATGATCCAGAAATATCACCAAGACTTAATTTTGAGGAGGGAAATAGTGAACTCCAAAAGATGTCCTGGAAACACACCAGCATGTGACCAACAAGAAGGCCAAGAACCACCAGAGAAATGAGGGGCTAAGTTATTCCATAATGTAGAAAACCTTAAACATACCACTATGCTACAGCAAAACATAACTCCATGGGCACTGCTAAACAAGTGAATGACTTGTATCTGCTAAAATGTCCCAACATCACCAACTGTTGCTGCAAGAGGAGGCCATCACTCCCCATTACTGAGATGGAGATGAGGTATGGAGCATCTGAAGAAACGAAGCCTAATCTTAATCTTTGTGAAATCTTAATCTTAATCTTTCTGTGTTTGACATCAAGTGAGGAGAATAAAGTTCAAGCAGCAGACAATTTGAAAGGGGATGTGGTTCTTCTGATGAAACAGAAAATGGGTGCAGCAGAGAGATCTGTGCAGGTTGTTTATTCAGACCCTTGTAAATACTGGAAGGGATGTGCAATTGATGGTTGCTGAATGATGGCAAGAAAGCATTCCCTATTTCATATTCTTTTTTTCTTGGGAGGCAGCAGGACAAGTCACACTAGGAGGCAGGAGACACTGGCTGGAGATGAGTGGAGAGGGGTGAGCACTTCACGGTTAGGGTACGTCTGCTGGTGGCACAATGCAGTGTTGGCCTGTACCAGCCAGTTGTCTTGGTAATTTCCTATTTAACAGCCTACAGAGAGGGGTGTGGGTCTGCACCACTACCCCAGAAAGGCAGTGCCAGCCCCTACAGACACACAGGATTTGGGCTGCGCCAGCATCTGCATGCAGGGACAACGCTTTGGACTGCTGGGAACAAAGGCTACCAAGGGCTGATCTTCCCTTAATCTCCTGCTCCACCAGTCAAGTGTGGCACAGGAGCAAAAACCTCAGCTCTTGTGGGCTCAGTGTTTGCCCCCAAGGGTAAACATGACCCACTGCCTGCAGCATCCCACTTGTCTCACTGACAGTCCCAGGAACAGGGCTGGCTCCTGGATATTTTAACCCATAGGCTTGCCAGGCAGAACTGTATCTCCTTGCTTCATGCTTTTGTTGCATTTTTTGCCCCTGTATTGAAGCTTTAATGGCGAGACTCTTAATTCAATTTCACTGAAATCTCAGATTCTCAAGCCAGATGTTCAGGATCATTAAATAACACTTCAGTGTTCATTAGTTCTTGAGCCTTGCTTCAGTGTGTAAATATTAACTAAACACTCTTGCAGAAGACACTCAAAAGCCGATGCTTTATGACTGCTGAAAATCCTGATTTTTAAAAATGCAAGTATTCTGGTTATTTCGTTGGGCAAACAGAGGTAGAAAGGAATTTACTGGATAGTGAAGCAAGACTTTGGAAAACACAGTTTCAGATTTTGGAAGCTGATGCCACAAAAAAATCGTCTTTCTTTCTCTAGTAGAGAGGATTTTCTTGATAGGAAGGGAGTTTGAAAACCCTAGATTCTGTAAAATTGGGAATGACTAAGAGGCTAACATTAATTTATCTTGGCTCTTAATAATTTGATTCAGCAAGTGCTGGGACAGCACTGATGTTTTCAGCTGACGCTAGGGCTTTCATAGCTTTCCAAACTCTGTTCCAGAAGCTTCTTGTGGCAAATGTTTCCAGTGTGAGTAATGAACATCCACAGCACCCATGTCCCAAAAGAAGACAGAATAAAACCAAAGAGATTTGGGCTTCAGAGCCCCCATCTATCATTTCATGCAAAAGCTGAAACAAGCATGTTTCTTGGCAGCTCTTAGTAAGAAGAAAGATTCCTTCCCTTCCTCACCTACTAATAGAGTCCACCTGGTTCCTACCCATCAGTGCTCTGGTGGTTTGATGCTGCACACATTTTTTGGTCCAAATTAACAGTAGAGTTTAGACTTTGCTCTTTTATTTCCAATCTTTTGAACACAATCCCACCTGCAGAAATTTTTGCTGCCCATTATTCTCCTCTGTGCCTTCAGCAAGGAATAGCTGGCCCACAAAATCATCCTCGACAGGCAGAAATTTTGGACTCAGAAGTAAAAAAAGCAATGAGGGAACTGATTCTGATCTTGATCTCCATTCTTGATCTCCAAGTGGTCAAATATACTTAGTCAAACATGTGAACTGAATCTAAAATAACAGGTCATGAAAACAGCATAGTTTTGAATTAACTTTGTGCTACAATAAAATACTGAAAATGCTTCATGCTGAGAAGGACAGATCCTCCAGATTTGGAGATGAAAAAACAACTGACCTAAAAGGTTTGGTTTTGATTTTAGATGCAAGGCTAGTGTGTGTTGCAGGCCTGCTGATAGAGAGAGTAAAATCTTACCCACTCTCTACCTCTTAGCTATGTGTTTGCACACCTAGCACCACCCTTCCAGGCTTTAACAGCTGAGATTCGTAGTAGCTGTCACTACTTTTGTCTTGTTGGTCTCTGGCAGCAGGATGTGCCTCTATCTGCTAATCAATAGCTTAAGACAAAGTGAAGCACATGGATTTGTTAATGTCAGATAATGAGATATCATCTAAAATGTAGTAACTTGGGTAAAAGCTGCTTCCCACCTTCTCTGCAAGCAAAGATTGCTCCATGAGAAAGGGAACTGAAGTCCTGTCTCTCCACCACTTTCCACCACCTCTTGGTTTGCCTGAGGAAGTACCCTGAGGCAATGAGCTCCAGCAGCCCTGGACTACCACTGCTACCTCAACCCTCCAATCTTACATCCTAAAAACATCTTTATCCCTCCTCCATACACCTAAACTAAGGGGTTCCCTAAATGAAAGGGTCAGCAGTGGGCAGAAACTCAGGCCTGAGCTCCCAGCTACCAGTAGAGACGCAGTTTGGACAATCCTCCAAAACACAGCTTGGCCTCCACCAGCTCATCTGCAGAAACCCTTGCTCCAAAATATGTACCAGAGACACATTCACTCCATCAAAGTCATTTTCAAGGGTCCATGACAAACTGCCTGGATCAGACAGTAGACAGTCCCAGACAGGATTGCCAGGTGGTTTATCCAAGTCTCTTTCAGACTTGAAGAAATAGATTTCACAGTGGTGATGGAACAAATAATGCAGTGTGATAAGCTTTTTCCAGTGTGCAATGCATCAATTATCTGTCTCTAATTGACAAGCCAGAGCCCAGTGACTTCCAAGAAATCAGGGTGGGGAGAGAACTGACATGGTGCCAAGAAAATAGCCATGGTCAACAATTTTGTCAGGGATGGATATCCTGGTTTGGATTAAACATGATCTAACCTGAATCTTTGGCTTCATCTTAATTCACCTTTTTCTTTCTCTCAGGTGTCAAAATGTTTAAATTTATAACTTGAATTGTGCTCTTCTCTGCAATTCCTCTGCCCTGACCAGGACCAAAACTGTAACAGATAAATACCACAGAGAAAAACTGCTTATTATTTTAACCACCCAACAAGCAATAAAGAATGTCTTGTGAGAAACCCTATTCTGACAGCATCCCCAACTGAAACTT